CACAGCCCGGGTTGGTGCAGGGACCGGGACAAAGTCAGTGGGTTCCAAAGACGGCCATCGCCACTCCCAAACCTTTTACAGGGGACAAGAGAGGCGAATACCTCGACACTTGGTTGAGGGCAGTGCCGGTTTACGTAAAGTGTAAACTCACCATGCCACACGAAGAAGTGTTTGTGGCTGCTTCCTACCTAGAGGGTAGTGCAGCAAGATGGTTGAGTGGGTTAGTGCAATTCCAGGGGTACGGTCATGACTTCCGCTCTTGGGCAGTCTCTCAGAAATTGGAGGACTTCCTGAAAATGGTGGAAGACAGGAGGCTCAAAAGGCCACTGATGCGATCCTGATACTGCACACGAGGCAGTTTAAGTCAGTAAGGGATGCCACCGACGCTGTAGAGCGTTTGATTTGTGTTCCAGGGGTACGCTATGACCCCCAGGTTGTCCTAACTTCGTACCTGAGGACCTTATCTCTGCCGCTCAGGAACCAGTTGGCAAAAGAGGCCAACATTAATATGCACAACTTTCCTTCGTTCAGCAAGGTGGCCCTAGACCTTGAAGCTAAGATAGGGCATGGACAGGCACCCRCTACGRAAGGGAGAAAGAAGACACTGCCTCCCAACTGGAAGGCGAAGGGTCGCTTAATGTTTGCCGACAATGATGGTTCAACCATCGAGTTGGACGGCAACCTCCAGGAGGGAGTAGGTGCAGAGGCAGATGGCGATACTTCAGAGGGTGGAGTAGTCGCCGTCGTAGCCCAGCAAAAAGGTAAAGGGACCGGTAGACGCCCTAGGGGATCCCGGTCGAAGAGTCAAACAGACCCTAATGCTTCTCCATGGGAGAAAGCGGGTCTATCTGAGGACGTGTGGAGAGATCGGTGGACATGGCAAGCTTGTGTCAAGTGTGGCCAATATGGTCATAGCATGTACAAGTGCCGCAATAGGAAGGTCACCGAGAAGATCCCGCCCACTATGGGGTCGGCAGTAGGATCCTCTGAACCCGTTGGTAGCAATATTGCTAGTTCTTCAGGCATTGCTCCGGAAAACACGTCGGGACAGTAGGGATAGTAGTTGTTCCTACTAGGGTCGCTATGGTGGATTCACCCTCACCTTCGCGAGAGATGGCCTAAGCTACAGACTCTTCAGTCGTCCCGCAAACCCATTCAGACCCATCGACCCTCTGTTCGATGAATGTGTTTGAATCCATAGAGGAGCTAGAGCATGAGTGGTCTAGATCAGATCCACTCGCTTCTTGGACGGCGTTAGTTAAAACCCCTAGGAGTGAAATGTTTGTCAGCGAGGTAGTTATAGGAGGCCGCAAGGCCGGGGCCTATTACGACACTTGCTCGAATAGGAACTTTATTAGTCGCGCGTGCGTTGAGAGGCTGCGCTTACAGGGGCAAGTGCAGCGCCTAAGTGGACCTGTGGAGTCGACCTGTGCCAACAAACAGCGCATGGTAGTTAATGACTACCTCCATGATGTAGAGTGTGTTTTCCCGTACGCGGGAGGGGACTTGAGACATCGTGTCTCGTTCCTGGTGAGTGACGAGCTCCCAATGGACATGTTACTAGGTATGTACTACCTCTCTGTAGCACAACCCTAGTTTGACTGGGACCGAAAAGTGGTCAAACACACATTGCCAGGTGGAGGGACCGCCAGATTACATAAGTTCAAAGCTAGTAGTCTGATTGAGTCCTATGGGTGCATGTGTGCGGCTGCATTCTATAATTATTATAAGCAAAATCAGGAGGAGGGTATGTACTTAGTCTATGTCTCTGCTGCAGGCGAGCCGGTGAAAATGCCGCCAGAGATAGAGGGAGTAGTTGCTAAGTACCCTGATCTATTTGAAGAGCCGACAGGGGTTGTTGAGAGGGAGGTCGTCCACGCGATAGAGATTATCCCAGGGTCTAGTATTCCAAGGGGTAGGATCTATCGGATGTCTCCAGGCGAGCTTGATGAGCTTCGCCGCCAACTCAAGGAACTCGTAGAGAAGGGCTGGATCCGGCCGAGTGTCTTTCCTTATGGGTCTCCAGTTTTATTCGTGCCTAAGAAGAAGGAGGGAACTCTTAGGATGTGCATTGACTATAGGGGCCTCAATGCCATCACTGTGAAGAACAGAGAGCCCCTACCGCGCATCGATGATCTGTTAGATAGAGTGCAAGGGTGTCGGTACTTCAGTAAAATAGATCTGAAGTCCGGGTACCATCAGATTGCAATCTGGCCCGAGGATCAATACAAAACCGCATTTCAGACCAGGTACGGTCTGTATGAGTTTGTGGTGATGCCTTTTGGCCTTTGCAATGCTCCTGGCACCTTTCAACACGCTATGAATTGGATATTCCATGACTACTTGGATAAGTTTGTCGTCGTGTACCTCGATGACATACTTATTTTTAGTAAGACTGTCGAGGAGCACGTAGCACACTTAGACAAAGTTCTCAGTCTCCTGCGACAGCACAAGTTCAAGATCAACGGTGAAAAGTGCGAGTTTGGCCGCACTCGTATCTTGTACTTGGGTCATGAGATTTTCGCGGAAGGGTTGAAGCCCGATGACGCGAAGGTGGCCAGCATTCGTGATTGGCCACGACCTCAGTCTGTGACTGAGATGAGATCTTTCTTAGGAAAGGTAGGCTACTACCGGACTTAAGAACTATAGCATTGTGGCCGCTCCTTTGACTGATCTGACCCGCCTTGACACCATGTGGGAGTGGACAGATGAGTGCGAGGCTGCTTTCAGACATTTGAAGCATGCATTGACACACTATGAAGTCTTGAAGCTACCCGATCCTGATAAGCCATTTACAGTAACCACGGATGCTAGCCAATATGGTATTGGCGCCGTGCTTGCGCAGCAGGAGGGGCCAAAGTTGAGGCCAGTTGAATACATGTCCAAGAAAATATCGTCTCAGAAGTTGGCTAAGTCTACTTATGAGAAGGAACTCTATGCGGTGTACAAGGCTCTCACCCATTGGAGACACTATCTCCTTGGGCGGTTCTTCATCCTCCRGACTGATCATCAGACCCTGAGATGGATGAGAACACAACCGGTACTCTCAGATGCTCTCAAGCGATGGATCGAAGTCATTGAGCAATATGACTTTGACCCTCAGTATCTCAAAGGGGAGTACAACAAGGTTGTTGATGCCTTGTTGCGAAGACCGGACTTCTCAGGTGCGCTGATTACTGACGGACGATGTTACTCAGTCTTTGGTGGAAGCCTATCGTCAGGACCAGTTTATGTCCGAGATCATACGCAGATTAGAGGCGAAGGAGAAGAAGATCTCCGCCGAGTTTGAGTTGGTCAATGGATTGCTGTTCCTAGAGAAGGCAGGGAATAAACGCTTGTGTGTTCCAAATAGCGAGTCTTTGCGTAGTTTGTTTTTAGGTGAGTGTCATGATGCCAACGACCATTTTGGGTATAAAAAGACCGCAGCCAATTTGCTGCAGCAGTTCTGGTGGCCCACGAAGATGAAAGATGCACAACTGTACGTGGAAACTTGTCAAGTATGCCAGAGAGACAAGCCCCGTACACAGGCTCCTCTTGGGCTGCTCAAGCCCCTTCCGATTCCGGAAAGGTCGGGTGAAAAGTTGTCCATGGACTTCATGGATACGCTTGTCACCAGCAAGAGTGGGATGAGACAAATCTTTGTCATCTTGGATAGGTTTAGTAAGTTTGCTAGATTAATAGCTATGCCAGAAACAGCAAAGACCGAGTACGTGATCAGGTTATTTAAAGAGAAGTGGTTCAGAGACTTTGGACTGCCGAAGTCAATTGTCAGCGACAGGGACGTCAGGTTTACGAGTGAATTGTGGAAGGCCGCTGCAACTGAACAAGGAACTCAACTGCAGATGACTTCTGAAAATCATCCAGGAGCTAATGGCCAGACCGAACAAATGAACCGCGCTGTGCAACACCTGTTGAGGCACTACATCAAACCCAATCAGGTAGACTGGGACGAAAAGCTTGCTCTAGTCGCCAGTCTATATAACAATGTTGTACACAATGCTACCGGGACGAGTCCTAACAGTCTACAACTGACATTCAAGCCTAGACTGCCCTTAGACTTCCTACTTCCAGACAACCAGCCAACTGCTACACCGGGCACTTTGGAGTTGGCCTATAGATATGAACAGAAGATGCAGGAGGCTGTAAAACACATGCAGAAGGCGCAGGCAGCAATGATAGAGTCCGAGAATAGACACCGCCGCCCTTCTACATTTCAGGTTGGGGACAAAGTCTGGGTCAAGTCTTCAGAACTGGGACAGGAGTTTGGAATATCCCGCAAACTCATGCCTCAGTACTTTGGGCCTTGGGAAGTTCTAGACGTAGTAGGGACAGATCCTGATGTTCCATCATATGTCATCCGTGTCACTGGTCATCTCAAAACTCACCCTGTCTTTCACGCCTGTAAGCTCGCTGCGTTCGAGGAAACTGATCAGTTTCCCTCTCGTCGGTCAATTCTGCCCCCAACCATGGACGGAGAAGTCGACATCGATGATATCGTCGATCACAGGGAGATGCCTGTTCAGAAGCCTTCAGGAAGGATGCGTGTTCACTTCAGACATCACACGGATCCGAAAGAGGACCGCTGGTTTACTCGGGAGGAATTGATGCAGACCGCTCCTCAAATCGTTGCCCGCTATGAGAAGGATGTATTGAAAGGAAAGCGCCAGATGGCTCAAGATTGATCTTCGCAGAGGACTAACGAAGATATGGAGGAGGGAATGCGAGGCTACGCCCGCTTAGCCCCTACGGGGCCTTATCTGCAACAAGGCGCCATATGCTAGGTGGGAGCACGCAGCCATAACCCAGTTGCGCAGCTGTATGCTAGGTGAAGCGCAGGGTGGTCCTTGGGGTGCTAGTGGCATCTGTGCGGTGTGGATCGGGGTTGTGAGTGTTACGAGAGACATACCTGGTGCTGAAGCGTGCGACATTGGTCGCCATATGCTTGTACTTCGGGAACGTTGTTGATGTCATCATTCTGCTTCGTAGTATAGGCTAGATAGGATCTGCCACATGGAGTCTGGGCGCCGAGCGCCAATAGGATATCAACTCTGGTTCGTAATTGATGATGATGGGACTACTTTAACATTGTCAATTTTGAACTCTTGGTGTGTTCTTATTTGGTGTATCTCGTGATGCAAGTCTGCTGTGGTTCGAGGTCAAGACTATTTGGGCTCATATGTATGATGTTGTTTGATTGCTGAAGTTCGCTAATGCTCATCTTCCTTGCATTTAAACTTGAGTTCATTTATTTTTGCGTTTTTAAATTAAAGGATAATCTTTCGAACCCCATCCCAACGGGGGGGAGGGAAATTGTTGCCGAAATTTTTTGAAATGCAATACCATAAAGAGTAGGATAAGATAAGAAGTAAGCACTGCACGAATAATGTGAGGTCACTTTGATGACGCTGGATGTCACAAAATTCAAAAATATATTTTTAATCAAGTAAAAATTGTTTTTCCTTTTTTTTAGTATTCTATTTGTTATCCCGGGCAGTTCAATTTGACGATATATAACTTAAGAAAACTAATTTATCCTATTTAAATTTGTTTTTTTTTATTTATATTAAAAAAAATACGAGGACATTCCCTAAAGGAGGAAGCAAAGGGGCATTTGGTTTAACCAGGGTTAAGGGGAATGTGTTGGTAAATCAAAAGGGGAAGGTAAAAAAGTAGTACGTACTTACCTTGCGATTCGCTAGGGCTTGCATTGGATTCCTCTATGCGTTGAACGCATGGTAGTGCATTATTTTTGTTTGTAAGTATTTTTTGCTAATTTAAGCAACAATTTTTTTTTTTTAATTAAGAAAAGGGCTTAAAAAGTTCAGAAAGTGAAGACGTGCGCTTTTTACTTTTTCTTTTGTCGAGGGGACAGGGTCTATCAGTCCGGGTACGCTTGAGAGAGAGGCGGGGATAATTCCCTCGAATTGAGCAAACGCCTTATATTCGAGGGAACTCGAAAATAAGGTTTGTAAGCCCTATCTGAGGTAGGGAATCTACACCTTTTTTATCCAGGGCACTTTAGGACCTAGATAGTACCTAGGTAGGCAGCTTCTATCATAGGGAGGACCTCCCGAACCTCATCCCAACAGGGGGAAGCAAAGCGTTGCCAAAAACTTCCTAGGAATCTTACGTTTTATTGACTTTCTTTTGCGTCTCTTTATCCTCCGTTCACTTATGCTGATGTGGCCACCCCCGGGAGTAAAGGAGTATCCTGTTAGCCCGCGTTGGGGGATTGAGTGACGGTTTACATTACCGACTCGGTCCACAAACTCGCACGACGGCCTGTGCAGGTGGCGATCGATTCTCCTGTGGCTTGGAGCCTGGCTGTTGATGCACAGGGATCTTAAGGGGAGCCGGGATCCGCGTGGGAGACGTCCGGGAGAGATCACGTACAGGAAGGTCAAGGCCACTTGTATCTGAGTCCGGAAGTGGCCGGAAAGGCTGCACTGACTTTTGTGGTCCAGGGGATGCGAGATCATCGGCTGGGCCGAGAGATACTTGCGGGACGAGGTAGAGGTCTTCCGACGTGAGGAGGAGCAGGACGTTAGTGAGTGGTCTCACCGATTTTCTCCTCGTGTGATTTCCGGAGAGCTCCAGGTTGTTCGTGATGGGTTATTCCCGTATGCGGGTTGTAGGTTGAGAGCGACCGTTCCAGCCTTTGTGGTCGACGCAGCATTTAGAGGTATAGGGGGCCTAGTCGAGGCGTATCTCACTACAGTGGAGCTTGAGCACTTCTCGAGAGGGGACCTCGACACCCACTACATCTATTATTCCCTGGTGACCGCTGGGCCACGGTGGGGAGACGAGAGGGTACAGCTTATAGAGCTGACCCGATCGATTGCTCCCACCTCGTCTGGAGCCTGGTGGGACGAGGTTTACGAGTGGAGACGGTTGCCGCCTACCCACGAGGGGGACCTGCTAGATCGCGAGCTTCGAGCAGGACCCGACTACACCACGTGTATAGGTCGGCTCGTGGGGACCTGGGGATGCTGACCCGCTCAAAGTCGTGTACCAGCTTACTCGGTATTACGAGGCGATCGGGGCGTCGGGATAGCGATTAGAGGAGGACCTCGACGACGACGACGATTGGGATCCCGACTAGGTGGACGTTGAGAGGGAGAACGTCGAGTCGGGAGAGGAGGACGACATCGCCGACACTCACTTCCCGAGGATAGGGGTCACCAGCAGAGCCTAGGGTGTGGCACGCAAAGACCGAGTGGATGTTGGGGGCTAGCAGAGGTAGAGGAGTTCCCTGTCATAGATCGATGGTGGAGGCATCATACGTGTGGGACCTCTTGGATAGGGAGCTTACAGCGGGACCCGAGTACGTCACTTCGTTGGGGTGACTCTTTGAGGACGATTGTGACGCCTGGTGGAGTGACGCGCTAATTTCCCTATGGCTGGTCGCGCGATACTACGAGAGGATAGGGGCGTCAGAGTATGACCTAGGGCCGGAGACACACAACACCGGGGAGATATCTGAGTCGGACGACAACGCAGAGTGGGTCGACGATAAGGACGGGGCTGTTGGGGAAACGGTCTACTTTTCGAGGATAGTGGTCGACCTTAGAGCCAGGGGGCTGTTGGGGAAACGGTCCACTTTTCGAGGATAGTGGTCGACCTTAGAGCCAGATACGCGCGATATGTCGCAGGAAATAAGAAGGAAGGAAATAGTCAAAAAGATTATGGATGGGTAGACACGAGATCTTCTTTCGACAGGTATGTTGGAGTCGTAGGACGCTTGACGAGCAAGGGCCGACTAGTGAGGAAATCGATGAAGTTATACACAGAAAATAAGGAGGAAGGAAATAGTCAAAAAGATTATGGATGGGTAGACACGCGATCTTCTTTCAACAGGTATGTTGGAGTTGTAGGACGCTTGACGAGCAAGGGCCGACTAGTGAGGAAATCGATGAAGTTATACACAGAAAATAAGGAGGAAGGAAATAGTCAAAAAGATTATGGATGGGTAGACACGCGATCTTCTTTCAACAGGTATGTTGGAGTTGTAGGACGCCTGACGAGCAAGGGCCGATTAGTGAGGAAATCGATGAAGTGATACACAACTTGAATAAGAGGACGAAGAAGGGTATATTGCCATACGAGCTTGTTAAGTATGAGTATGCACAGAACGACTGTACAAAACGGCGACACAGAACACGAGCGGTTTTATGTCCTCACGTACTGCATCATCAATTTAGACGAGTACGACGTGCGGGTATATCTTCCTAGGAGACGGATAGGAGGCTACCTATACGGGAGCAGTTGGAAGAGGGCAGCCAAGTTAGTGCAAGCTGAAAATGACCGATTAGAGGCAGAGGAAAAAACGGTTAACTGAAGTACAGA